TTTCTCACCCATCGTCTGTACTTCTTAGCAAGTTTTCCCGACGTTTCGTCCTCAATCCAAAGGACTTCTTCAGGGAATTAATTCTCAGACCGCGCGTTGGAGATGATACTAACTCATAAACAAGCAGCCATTAGAAACAACAAACTAACTGAGAGTGAGGCGGGGGCCCTCAGACTGAGAGTCTGTGCAACACTCAAAAGTGCTAAGTCTCATTAGATGAGCAAAAAGCATTATTGGCATTACAAAAGGATGAGAGTATAACTATTTTACCAGCTACTACATCAAACAGACCTTAGATTGTTTGAGTTAGTATCAGGATTAGGGTGTGGCTAACCACACCCATAGGTTATAAATCTCCAACGCGCGGTCTGAGAATCCATTCCCTGAAGAAGTCCTTTGGATTGAGGACGAAACGTCGGGAAAACTTGCTAAGAAGTACAGAAACCTTCCTTTGCATCCAGAATGATTATTTGGCTAAAAATGTAATGCAATAAACTTGGGCTGTCATGATTCTGTTTATTGTCTTTCTGTCTATTTATTACCTACAAGTCGCTTGGAATAAAAATATGCGGGAAACCACTCAACCTGGCAACCATGCTGCGCAGTGCTGTGACATGAGCTTTAAACCAGTACCTAAAGTGGTTCTCACCCCCGCTCCTCGGAGCTTACGTCACTCACATTTCCTGTTCAAATCTTACTCTAAATGGGCGTAGCCTGGAGGACTGAAGGGGGCGTGAACGAGACTGGGCCGTTTATATTGCTCTGGGCGGGGGGCTGCTGACGTCAGGTCCAACTTGCAGACGTCAGGTCCAACTTCTGTGCCAGTGTTGGCGCCAGATTCAAAATTCAAATGTAGTAATACAGGTCGCCAGCAGATGGCGCCTCACAGACGGTTTTAGGCAGAAAGTTTAACTTTCAACTAATTTGCACCAAAGTGAAAAAACTATGACCAGGATATGTAGACAACACTATTGGACACTCATTTATACCGTTTATCAGCAAAAAAAGTGGATTTGAGGGTGAGTTGTCCTTTAAACCAAACTTTACACAAACATTTTACACTTAAAACACACATATAACAATATAGAACCACCAACATCTCGCCTCAAATAGCATAAAAAGTGACATTCGTGTCTTAATTCGTTTGTATTTAAACTTTTTTTTTCTTTATGTTGGGTGTGCGGACTGGGTCGCCGAGGTCTCTGCCTTCGACCGCTGCCCAGTCCTCTCTGCACCGCTTAGCCACCACGGACCCCTCTGCGGGTGATGAGTCCACAGGAGGGCCTGCCTACGTCGTCCATTCGGGCTGAGCCCGGCCGGGCTCGCCAGGCGCTCGCTTTCGAGCCCCGAACCCAGGCCTGGCTCCAGGGTGGGGCCCCGGCTGTGCCATGCCGGGTTGTGGTTATTTTCATAGAGAAGTGTGAAGTTCCCATGTCATCCAATGGAGACTGTATATTGACATGCTCACAGATTTTACATATGCTCCTGTTTGCATATACAAAGTCTGATTTCCACTAAACTTGAGATTAGTTGTTAATTTCTTCGTTTCCTGGGCCTAAGTCACCTCGATATTAAAATACACAATGTCGCTCCCATCAGGGCTGTAGGAAGATGGCTCGTCAGCTCCTCCTATGTGCTGTGCGACGAGGGCCTTTTGACGCCGCTTGAGGCTTTAATTATTATTACTGTTAGCTTTTTAGAATGATAAATTTGATTGTTTTGTTTGTGTGGGCTGGATGTGTTTTTGCTGCTACTGGACACCTGAATTTGTCCAACGGGATCAATAAAGTATCTATCTTCTGTACATTCTACACACCCTGACACTTCTACACAAAACTCTGATGGTGATGAATGATTTTGGGGATAACATTTTCAAGTTGTAATAGAATGATTTTGGAGAGCACCTTGTTACATCTCTGCATTATTTCCACGTTTGGAAAGTAGTGTAATGGTTGTAAACTTAGGGAGAGTTTCTCTCATGCTTCTCTTGTCATATTTATTAGCGGTGCTAGCAATTTTTTGGAAAGTGTTATAAAGTATACAATCGGATAGCCATCTGGCCCCGGGGCTTTGTTATTGTGCAAACATTTGACTGCCAGGAAGTCTTCCTCCTCAGATATGTACTTATCCAACAGACGGCTGTCAGCACTTGTTAGTTTGGGAAAGGATCAACTAATAAATTATTTTACTAAAGAGTTTTCATGAGTTTTGTACAATTTCTTCTTCTAAAAGCCATCCATCATCCTTTATGCAGTGATTACCTTTGTATTTCATGTATGTGTTTAACATGAAACAAATGTGGCTGTTGTTTCACATCTTGGTATGACCTTTTACAGAGAGCTCAGCGTGTCTGTCAGAACTTGCTAATATTCCTGTTTCCAATTTGTTTTCTTTCAGAGTTTTCCCTGAGCAGCTTTTGCAGTCAAATCGACATGACAAACTTCTCTATGCTGAGAATGCTGCGTCTGGATGCCAATGAGATCAGTGCCAAAGACATTCCTCTTGAAGCTGCCTACTGTTTGCGCCGTGTTGCTTTTGTTGATGTCTAGTGTCTGTTGTTCTCATGTATGAAAACAACAGACACTGTTGTTTTCATACAACAGGTAAAGTTTGTTACTCACTTAACAAACTTTACCTGAATTAAATAGGAATTCTAAATAATCTATAACAGGATCAAAATCTTATCTTTAAATCAAACCACATTCATTATATATGGGTGTTTTAACTACTGTTAATAATACATGTCCTCCAGCTCTTTTGAAATGTAGTTATTTGCTCCATAAACAAAAACAAAATATTTTCTATCTGCAAAAGAGATTACAACAAAGATGTTTTTGAACTGCTATTTTAGGACCAAATAATCAATATTATGTCCATATTATTGGCAAAGATGTGCATGTACATGACGTGATTATAGAATATGCGAAGTGGTAATATTTATTTCTTAAGAGATTGATAGATGGTTGAAGTCAAAGAAAATATGTCAACACAGTCCAAATGGCACCAGAATCAAATGAAGCTACACAAGACTAACAGGAATAGAAATATTCTTTCAACTAAGTCATTAATATATCATCATTTTGTCAGAGTCCAAAGCGTAAATCGATTAAGCGAAGCAAGCTTTTGGCCATGTGTTACTCTGGTGTCCATTAGCTCAGAGTCTTTGTCTCCACCCTCTGGCCATTTTTAGTACTGCACAATTCTTAGTATGCGCATAGACATTTTTTATGCATTTCATATTCATTCTTATTATTATTTCTTAGTCTGTAACAACTGTGTTTGTAAAGTTATTTTCATACAAATCATAAAGTTACTTGTAGAGAATGTTTTGTTGTTGTGCTATTCATTTAAGAGTTTACTTAATATTGCAAAATTATTTCAATTAAATGGTTATTATCAACAAGTTTGAAGTGATGTGATATTTTCCCTGACAAATTTTGCATACTTTTTTTTTCCCAATTTGCTACAGGAGCCTCACAACAGGCCAGTTTGTTTAAACATATGATGTTTTTGTTGTTGTTATTACCAAGTGTGAACAATTATAAGGGTGACATTTGTTAATGCTGAGCTATCTAAAAATTCTGGATTCTTTGAGGCAAGCCCCACATATATATTGTTGTAGACGACTTGCCTTTTCATGTCACACAGCTGCCTTTAATCCTCTGCAGAAAGGCACTAAATTAAATTATAGAAATACTTTCCTTGTTTTGTAATGGATAAGTGTCTTGAAAAGACAGTTGAATTGTCTCCAGTTAAGCTGTGGTTTGCACATTGATAAGCAGTAGCTTGTAATATTAAGTATGCAATAGATCACGTTATACTGCAGGGATTTGTAAAATCTGCAGTGAGAAGGCCTTTCTTTTATCTGTGTCCATGACCAGTACAGGCACATAATGGGGGGATGTTGTATGTAATTCCTTAACAGTGAGCGTGGTTTATATTGTGGGTTGAAACTATTGATCTTCAAATCACATATTGAAGTGAGACCTTTATGTTTTGTTTCAAATATTTACAAAATGCGGTTTACATTTACTTTGAAATAGTTTTGTGATTCGGTTCTTTAAAAATATAAATATATAAGCAGGAATCCCTCTGTATTTAAACCAAACAGAAATTGTGAACTGCTGTGCTTCCATGTTGCCCCTGGACACATTATGAAACACATGACTATTTTGTCTCTTGCAGAAAGACAAGAATAATTAACAATAGGAATTCATATGCAGTGGCAACATTTCTCACCATTTCCCGTCACACCCTGATGAGGGCCTGTACTGTTTTTACTGCTGTGCATTGAATCTGCCAGCATCAACAGTTCAGTGCATTTGCCCAATAATCCACTACTCCCCTGGGCTTATACCGGAACTCTTCACATTGTTTTATATTAAAGATGCATGCACAAGTACAAGGGGTCAACTATAAAAGTAAACAACTAAACTAAATAATTACACTGATGAGTAGGAAAGGAGGAGCTTGTTGGACAAGAAACTCATTTTCCACAGGCAGTAGGCAGAAAGGGACTTTTAATAATAAATGATCTATTCAAACTAATCTTCAGTGTATGCATACAGTGCTAGCTAGAGAACATGTTTAAAAAAAACTGTACACTTGTGACTGAATAGGTAATAAATAATTTGTACATGTATTTAGCAACATAGCAGTCACTGAGTTAAATACTTATTAACATGAAACATCATCACTGACTGTATAATGTGTAAAAATAAAATCAATATTCAACAATACCTGCAATTTATAATGCGTAAACATACTGTATATACAAAGACCTCAGATTAAATAGGCATGAAAAATACACATCATTCAAACAAAGATACTTTACAACTTGGATCAAATGTACATGTTCACAAGTGCATTGTCTGCTCCTGCAGAAATGTGCTCTTTATAACCTGCAATTAATATGTTTACATATATTAACACAATTATATGTGATTATGAATTATTGTGTTATTAGATAATATTATAAAAGAAACATAAATATACTTACATTATTGCTCTTCCATCTCTATACCTCGCACGTCTCTGCTTTACATAGAAAACATTGATTGCATGAGCGCAGTTATAGAGAGGCCCAAAAGCGTAGTCACACTGTAGAAATCCTACCTTTGGTCTGTGTGTGTTCTTGACCTGTGACGAATTGGCGATTTCTGAAAAATATAATCAGACTTTTACATACATTCTGAAACATTTGCAAAGTATCTTTGGTTTACTTTCATTTCCTTTACTGTTGAGACTGAGTGGACAATATTAAACAGAAACGAGTTATTCTTTGACACCTGAAAATCTTTTATTTTGATGTTTGCTTTTTTTGGGACATATGTCTGAAATTATGGTTGAGCTGTCTAAACATTTACCAAGGCTTCCTTATAGCAGATTGTAGCAAAGCTAACATTTGGGGTTGGCTCTGTGTTTATGTTGTTTTGACTGGCGCCTCTAGACAAAGCTGCTCCTCATTTAGCTGGAAACAGGTTACAGGTCAAGTTAGGAGGAAATTCTTCTCTTGTCAATTTATATTTCTGATGAGTTGTAATTATTACATTTTTGTACTTTCCCCCATGAAATAACCAATACTCTTGTCTGACTTTTCTTGCTGGAAGTTCTGTATATTTGGCAGTGTAATGCTTTAGTGCCGTATTAAGTAAGTGAATTCTAACTTCTGAAGAGAACATGCCTGGTGTAAATTGTGCAATTATGACTCTGACAACTATAGAATTCTTTGTTGGACATAATGGATGTATTAATATTTTCACTGGGGCGGTCTCTGTTGGGAAGAAGCTTGATCACGAGGTCAGCATGTCCAGAATTAAACCTTGTTAAATATTTCACAGGCAAAACCTTCTTTTGACCTGCTTATGATAACAAAGCCACAGCTACTGAGCACATGGACTGGACTTTGTAGTGATTCATGATGTTAATGCATGTTCATCTTGTCAGGCATCTAAGATGACCAAGCAATCTTCATCTTTATTGAATTACTCAAAATTATGTAATTTTTAAGGAGTAAAAGAGGTTTGTATTTCCACATTGACTTAATTGAATATAGTGTTTCTCCCATTACTTTGTATTCTTGATGAATTATGCTTTATAGTGTTGATGTTATTTTGTGGACCTCCATTAAAGAGAACAATCACAATTGAGGAAGATTGTCTTCAATTTCTGGCTGAAACAAATTAGGGCTGTGTGCCCATTAAGAAGTAGAATAATGTTTTTTGTATCATATTTCATACAAAACTGGAGCTCAATGTGTTAAACACAGGGTCAAACATAGAAGACACATTTGGTTAAATCACAATAAAATGCAGGAAGAGCTGGAAAGAAAGTTTAACAAATGACCCCCACGATACACTACACAATGTAAACTTTGTGTAGTGACAGGGGCATGCATTTTATATCATTGAATTTACACCTGGTCTGCGCTTCAACTGCTCCTTTCTACTGTCTTCCCAACAGAGAAAAGCCAGGATTAACACGTAAAAAAAAGGTTATTGCATAATGTACACTGTGTCTCGACCTGCACCTCTGTGTTTACGTCCTGAAGACTTGCTGAAGATGTTAGGTGTGAATAGGGAAAGAACACAACAACAACAAATGGAATGAATGTCGCTGAGCACATTTGAGACAACGACAGGGAAAATCAGATTTTCCAAGGTTCATTACCAACAGCAATTATGTTTAGGGATTGAAGAGTTTTTTAAATTACCACCAAAAAGTGGTAGACAATGTGAAGTGAGAACATTATTTTTATATTTATTTTAAAACGGCATCTTAGGGCTTGCTTAAGTATTCAGTACGAACACTTATGAATTGTTCCCTTGAAAAAGAGGTTCTTAATCTCAATGGGAATTTACTGCTTAAATAAAGGTTAAATTAAAAAAAAGTATCCATTGTGTTGGGCAAAAAAGTCTCCTGTGTCTAGATATGTATTGTATCATGTCAAGCATATGGAGATATGTGTCATACTGGCCCTGAAAGATACTCATCCCTATTCCAATACGTTCTAGGGAAATTGTCCACGTTAAGTCTTTAACAGTTTTTCTTTCATAATTTCCTTTTTATTTTGCACCAAAAACTTTTCCATGTTGTGGAGCTACTTTACTTCAGCAGGGACAGGGTAGAGTCCCAGTCCCTGCTGAAGTAAAGTGGCTCCACAGCATGATGCTACTACAGCCAGGTTTGACTCTGGGGATGCTTACTTTTGTAACCTGCTTTTGTGCTTGTACTGTGGTCTCTATCATTGGACGTTGGAGGAGCTGAAGGATTTCAGGGCTTTGTGACATGTGACTTAGTAAGTAGAATACAACAGCCAAAACCTTTCTCTATAAAACAATTGTATGTTGTGCCGTGTCCTATATACATCTAATTGACGCATCGGATACTATTAAACCAGCTGATTTATGACATAATACCAGTGAGAGATCAAATGTATTTGTTTGACTGTGGTTCCAGTAAAGGCCTCTTATGATTGCTGGTAAAGTAAACATGTTAAGGTGGTGGGATTTAAGTATTTCATTGTGAAACAGGTTTCAGATTTTTTTTTTTACATTTTTGTATAGCGCTTGCATGGTACTTCTATTATATCTTACATTTGAGGGAAAAGCATGTGGTTTGTGATTTTGATCTGCATATTTTATGACTTATACAACTGGCATAACAAGATAATGTCGATAGGGAGTCAAAGTCGGTCACAGCATGTATTACTGTATGTCTAAATCCTGGTGCTGTGTGCCAAATCATACGGTATATACATTTGTGTGACTATTCTGTGACATGTGGTTTAAATTAGTTACTTACAACACGAGAAAAGATCATCCTTAACATCTACACATTGAGTATTCTTCACAACCACAAACCACAAATATGTTTAGCCACTTACTCTCATTTGAATGTTCAGTATTTACTAGAAATCAAACCAAGGCATTCACCAAGCACAACATTCAGTCTGACAAGGAATGTAGCTCAGTGTTCATGTAAATGCGCACAATGAAACCATAGCAGTACCTTTTGTGTGACGAGACAGTAGAGTGTGAGTATGAAAAGTAGTCCACCACAGATGGAGGTGATGATGAAGACCAGTTTGTACATGTCTCCCACTGCTTTTCTCTGAGATGCCTTTATGGAGTCCTTATCATAACTGTCTGTGGAAAACAACATGCGATCAGTTATCATTGCTGCGCCAGACTTGACCTGCTCAAGTTAGATCTTTGTTTAGATTGGGAGTCATACCTGTTAAGTATTGAGTGGAAGACTCTGTTTCTGGAAAATGTGTGGTTGAGGTCAGGGTCTCTGTGTATTCGCTTTGACATGTCCAGTCGATGGGTTTCTTACTAAATGTGACCAATTCCCAGTAAAGTGTTAGCACCTCTAACGCCCTCTGCAGTGCCTCTGAAGGAGAGCTTGTGTAAAGAATCTCAAAACTCTCTGGTTTGTCCTAAAGCACAAAACAAACAACTCAGAAAACAGAATGTTGGACAGTTGTAAAGTTTCCTATTTTAGGAAATGCAATCTATTAATCATTAAGGGAAGCACACTGGAGACTGACCTCCACCTCTTCATTAATCTCAGCCACACACTTCTGAGAATACATGTTGAGGATCAAAGCCCTCAGGGACTGAACATAGCCTTCATTGACTGAACCTCTGCCATATTTGAAGTGTGTAGTGAGAAGTTCTAAGATCCAGGGTAAAGCAGCTTTTACAAAGCAACATTTGCTCTGTGGGAAACCAGAATAAATTGTAATAAACAAAACAAAAAGCAGAAAGAAAGTTTAATTCATACGTTTCAAGAGGAAACAGCCCATAAAAACAACCTTACCAAACTTCTCTGCTCTATGAACATGTAGGTTATAGAACAGCCAGTCCTTAACTGGTTATCCATCTGCAAAACAACAGCGAAGCATTAGCTGTCTGGACGGCTAACATACAACCACGTCTCTGAAGGACCTACCAAGTGTCGAACTGCGAGCAGGTGCTCCCGTGTGATAGAGTGTCTGCAGGGACCAGGAACCTCCGTCATTGTCATAGGGAAGCTCAGCAACACAAGCACACACAGACACTTTACCTGCAACTGAGGCAACTAGCGTCACTTTCTGACAGAGCAGCCAACACACATGGACCCCTTATGTGTGTCTATCTTAAGTAAATCAGACTCTTTCTGCCTGAAAATTCTTCTACGAAACATTTGAATCTTCCCTTAGAATCTTTCGATACTTTTTTACATATCTCCCACTTTCAGTGGCTGTTTTATAGCCCATAACAGTTCCTTAAAGAAAAGTCCTCCCACAAAACTGTTTTACCACAAAAAGTATTTAATTTTAAAAAAAATCAATGATAATTGGTATATAATCTGCACACTTGTGTGCAGATTATATACATTATAGCATTTGTGTTTTCATGTCTTTATCCATATCCCAGTTTTTCTATTTCTAAATTATTCATTCATAATTTATTTTCAAATGAATCCAAGTAAATGCTGAAAAATAATCCTCTCCCTTATGCTCTGTTTCTGAGTTTTGCCTCAAAAAACGTCTGTAAAACACCAGGTTTTGTGTTTATCCGACATGCTCAGGGATGCGTTGCTGTGACAATACCACAGTCCAAGTGTAAATGTGCATGACCTCAGAAGAACCTTCCTCAGAGTTTCATTAGTTCCAGTTATGGTCAATACTTCTGTCCACCATGAAGCATGGCCCAACACTAGGCTCCTGTGGTGAATATGATGACTGCTACCAAGCACCTTTTGGCAGCTTGTGCACTAAAATCAATTCCAGATGACTCAACCCATAATACGGGATTAAAACATAGACAAGCAAACGATTATTTAACACCTATATATTATAAACAAAAGACAATGTTCTCCAAACACTAAACTGATGTCATTTATATTTAATTACTAACAAACTATTATGTATCCTGTTTCTATAAAAGCGACTGTTCCCTCATATTCTTTTCCTGTATGTTTGTTGGACCTGGAGTTACTAGAAGGATTAATATACATTGTCAATAATAATTGATGAGAGTTATAGGTTCCCAAGGCTCCACTTGGAAAAATCCATCTTATAAATACAGATAATTAGAGTAAGGAAGGAAAACAAGCTCAAAGTCTTGTGGCCATTATTGGAGGTCCACTTAGTGACTGATGATGACTTATAATCAGATTAATCTAATTCAATATAACTATTGATGTGTCTGGTATGTGGCAGAAGCACATGATCCAAATGTCATCTATCACATGATTTCTTTTCTTGATCTGTTCCTTGGTGATGGTATAGAGGTCAGTAAACGTATGTTTACAGCTATACAATTCTCAGACTGCTCAGACTCTTTATTTGCATGCTTCTTGGAGGTCCACAGAAGAAAAGCTTTGCCCTTACCTTAGCTTTGCTCTGGGTTGAAACAAGGATGGTCATCTGGTACGTGTTTGACAATGGAAAACACCAGACTTCTCTGTCACACACATTGAAGCAAAGAAATCCTTTTCCTATATTCAGTTCCACTCCACAGAAAGGAATTTGCTGTTAAGTAAATCTGACACTTCGTCATGTGGCGCTGTGCTGTGCTTCAAAGTATTGCCTGATGGTGCTCCTCTGGCTCAGAGTGAGTTCAAACCAAGACTAAGTCTCCACTGACAGACGGTTGTTTTAAGACCTCCCACCTCTCTCCTGCTTGACAAGATACACCGTCCAGTGCATCATGCTTCTCTCCCATAAATGATGTTTATATAAGGTTGTTGTTGATTTCTTTTTTCATGTCCGTTTTATTGTTAAGTAAATCCTGGAAGCCTCAGTTCATGTCCCAAATTTTGAAAATCATCCACGGTATGACACGGTGAATCTTTTTCATTGTAGGCCACTGGCTGTCCTTAGAATATCCAAAAGTGCAGACGTTGTTGACCTCTCAGCGAGAAAATTGCTAAATAACATAAAAATATTATGCCTTTTTAAGAGGAGATCTACAGATCCATGTACAGAGTTTGTCTGAGGCAGGTGTTGCCTCACGCTGCTGCAGAAATCCAAGACCTTCTGTTTTTTTTGGATATGAGCGTTCTTTATGAGACCAGTGGGTGTGTACGACTATTTGTTAAAAAAAAAAGAGAGAGAGAGAGAGAGAGGGGGAGAGAGGGTGGGGGCACACATAAACTCAATTCAGAACTTTTTAGTGATCTCTTTAGAACTCATTGACTGTTATTGTAACAACGCAATTTATTATACAATACACTGCACAGATGTGTTCTTCTGAGCCCACTTGAAGAAAAGCTCTTCAAGTTAATTTTATGAGTTTATTTTTTTTCCTGCAAGTTAGTTAGTTAGTTAGTTTATTTTTTCTTCGGCCAATATGTACACCCGACCTCGGGTCACACGAATACAGAGATCACATTTACTTTTTACAACAAGAAAAGAAAAAAAAAAGAACCAAAAAGTGTCCATAAAGGACCTTGTGAGAAACAATACCTGATCGAAAGGGTTTAGACTGAAGTCGAAACTTATACTGCCTAACCCCTAATACAATGTGAAAATACGTCCAAAGATGACACATTATACAGTTTCTCATATACCAACAATGGTAACATGAAGCACCAAAAACTTGCACTTCAACAAATCAAAATTATGTTATACATGATCAAAATTATAGGTGACACAATATACAGATTCTCATATACCAACGATGGTAACATGAAGCACAAAACATGAACTTCCATAAACACGAGTTATTAAGCATAGTCCAATTCAATTGTCCTATTCTTCTCCATATCTTCCATCTTGTGACTGAAACAGGCGGGTGGCTGTCCCAAGTTGGACCTGGGTGCTGTGAGCTCTGTATAGGCTCTAGTGATTTGAGAGGAATAAAAACCAATAGTATGGAGACTGCGGCAAAAATCTTAGTTCAACAGGAGATTCAGGGACCCTCATTGAATATTGAATCTTGAATCTAACAGAGGCGATACAGGGCTCAAGTGAGTCTTGTCCCTCCCTTGTCCCTTTTCAGGTCTAATTTTGTATATAACCCTTCTGTCTCCCACCTATTCCAACACTACATGAGGCCCTGAATCAGTCTAGGTGACCTTTAAGATCCCTGTCTCTCACCCACACCCTTTCACCTGGTGCTTATAGTATAGATTTTCCTCCATCAGGTGTGTTTGTTGTGACCTGCTGACTTATAGGTTGTGCATGTGTTCCAGGGAAGGGACTTTCTAGTGATGGTCTTTAACCCATCCATCTAGGTCTTGGTCTGTTCACTCCAAGACCCATGTCAAGATTCAAAATGAAGGGGTATTTTGGTCGTCTTGTACTTGGACTAGCATCGGTAAAATTCTGGCCAAGCAAGAAAGTCTCTAACCTTACGTACTTTTCTGGATATGGTCTATATTCTTGAGTTTTAACCCAAAAGTTTTTACCCAAAAGTTCTCTAGGTTTTACTTGACCGCAGGACATTCCCCTAATCCTCTTCTGGATTATCCAAATGCTCTCTAGAAAACTTCAGACGGGCAATGACATGTACAAAGAACACAATACTAACAGTGGATGGGGGTGGAAACATTGTGTTTTTCTGCATGATGACCAGGACAATATATCTGTAAAGGAAAGAAAGAATGGGGTATGCATCATGATATTTTGAGTGAAAACCTCCTTCCTCCATCTTCAATACCCTTCCATCCAAACTCACTGCCCGGAAAACAAAGGGGGGGCTTCGTAAAAAGTCCCTTTTGAGGGAGATGAAAGTCTGTGTTGCCCAGCAACAGCTCCGAAACATCACTGTGTAATGCTATTCTATTTTTAAATTAGGATTTTCACCTTGTTTCTTTTAGTTCAGTTGGAATTTTTCCATAATCAAATCAAATCATCTGGTTGTAACTGGTTTGGGGTCGGTGCTGTTCGGGTCGTACAATTCTGTGAAAGCCTGGGATCTATGATAATTTAAATGATGATAATAATGATAATATTATATTGGTTTATATAGCACTTTTTTGGACACTCAAAGATGCTTCATGTGACATTATTAATTCACTCCATTATTATTTTAATTTTTTTATTTATTTTTGTTAGAAAGATGCGCCTGGAAACAGCTGCAAGTCCTCTTACAGTAGCTCTAAAACAGTTGTTGTTTTGTGCTTAGTCAATTTTTATTTTTCTTGCTTTTTTCTGCCTGAGATGTTTCTGCAGTACAGTGTTCATGGTTTTACACTGGTCCAGACCGGAGCGGAGAAAATTCATGGTCCGAATCAAGAGGATCAGGTGAAAACCCACAGGAGGAATGCTAACTTTTTGAAAAATGCTAATGAAGCATTTAGCATTTTACTTTGGACTAGAGCAGAGAAAAGGGTCCGAATCAAGCGGGCACACTACCTTTTGACCTGTCCTACTCCACCCAGAGGCTACTCAATATGGGCTGCTGCGACCTCTCCTGCTCCACCCAGAGGCCACTCCATCTGTGCTGCTGTGACCTAAAGGGCTGTTGCTGATTATAATATATAATAATGATATATTTATTATGTTTTTAGAATGATAATTTTTATTTTTATTTTTGCTGCTACTGGACACCTGAATTTCTCCTACGGGGGATCAATAAAGTATCTATCTATCTATCTAAACAGAGGCGATAAGCTACTACTATAGGCACAGCTGCCCTAAGGCAACCAGTACTGTATGTTCTTGGCAATGTGGGTGAAGTGTCTTGCCCAAGAACACAACAGCAGTTTGGCACTTTACAGCCGCTGTTGCCCAACTGTAACATTTGGTAGTCCCAGAGGTCTCCCATTCCAGTACTAATCAGGCCGTGCCATGCTTAGCTTCTTAGATCTGATAGGATCTGGCTTGCATGCATGTGATATTTTATTACCCAATCCAACATTACCATTACTATAAATGACAATAATCTAATGAAAGCCGTTTGCCTAATCAAGTTTTGTTTCACACAGTTTCTTTCAGTCCACTATTTTACATGTCAGGGTTAGGGTTCTCTCAGTCTTATATGACATTTATATAAGTAGTTTCTTGATTCAAAATCGTTTCCCAAGAAATGAATTTTAAAGGGTCATTGATCCAGATCAACACAATTATTACACTTGACTCTTTGATTGTGTCTTCACAAATATACCCTCCTGCTCTCTGACACTTGTCCTGTCAGTCGTAGGTGAGAAAGTCTCCTCTAGTCAGTTCCTGATTTCTGGTTGTATCCTTTAGCAACATCTTCCCATGTAGTTGTTACTTCCATCTGTGTCAGTTTTTAGGGCATAAATTCATCTTCCTCCAAGTGCTTCTTTATCTGGCGATAAGCAGGTCAGCTACAATGTCTCATTTTCATGTCACAAACTGCATGACAACAGAAATTAAAACTTTGGGTTTGTACATTGAATCCTAAAGCTAAAAAACCCTGGAAAAATGCTGATGTCTGCATTTTTCTGGTTGGATATCTTCAGATCCTGCTTCTTGCTGCTCAGATCAGATTCAGATTAATTTTATTATCCATGTGCAGTATAAAACAACATTGGAATACATTCGCAAAAAAGTTACTCAGTGTGTACCGACAGAATAAAGAGCACGATACAATGTAATATAAAATACACATACACATACACTGAAAACAAAAAAATAAAAAAACAGCTGACACTGTGGCACCGATCAACAAAAACGATACCAGGGGTAAAAGCAGGAATTAAAGTGCTCTGTTTAGGCACCTAACAGCTTGTGGAAAGAAGCTGTTAGCATAGCGAGATGTCCTGCATCTCAGCGACCAATATCTTCTGCCTGAGGGAAGATGCCGGAACATGGCTTTCCCAGGATGGCCAGAAGAGTCATTGATGATTTTAAGAGCACGGTTTAAAAGTTTGGATTCATAAAGAACCTCCAGAACAGGAAGCTCACAGCCCACGTTCCTCTTTGCAGAGCGGAGCACCTTGTTTAAAGCTCTCTTTTCTTTATCTGTGATGTTACCAAACCACACAGAACCAACAAGTAAACTCTCAATGGTGCAGCGATAAAAGTTAAGCAGAATCTTAGAGTTATTGGAAAATTCTCTAAGTTTCCGCAAAAAGAAGAGCCGCTGACGAGCTTTTGTCCCATTTCAGGAAAACGACATTTCATTTAAATTCTCTGAACTGTCATCAAGATGAGCTATGCTTCTTTCTCGTTCATATCATATCTTTGTCTTTGTTTTCAATGTCACACATTACACGTGACTCTTGAGTTTGATTCTCTTTGTCAACACTAGCTTTGGTTGTGAATTTGACAAACCTCTTCCTTTTCAGTTATTAAAAGAAAAACTGGACCATTTTGATTATAGCCTGTAAAACACATTCAGAATTGGCACATTTTGTACAGTATGTATTGGATTCATTGTTCCTTCTGTCGTTGCACTGTGGTGATATGGACATCAGCGTGTGCACTGCCTGCAGCTTGACTGTGCTATTAGT